TGATGATCAACACAAAACTTCAAGAGTCCTTGCTGCTGGATGTTTCACATAATAATAGTCAATTAATAAATATCAACTAGGTTTCAATTCCGAGCTGATATTAATCCTTTATACTTTCTGCACTAGCGGGTCCGAGTACATTCCAATACTCGTAAGCATTGTCTGTAAAGAAACATAGGAGTTCTCTAAAGCTAGAGGTTCTCTAAACCTACATATTCTAAGTTTCACGCTTAACTCGTCCCCAACCGACGTTAATGTAAGTGTAAGAACAAATAAATCTCAATCCCAAATAGTTAGTGTCGCAGCTATTTTTTTTTTTTTGATTTGCACTGGGTGTCCAAGTCTCTTCGAGCCCCGACTAATCCCGGGGGTGCACATGCCCTTGGCAAGGAGTTTTCCGCAAGTGCACCACGGTTTTACCCAGTCCGATGACCCTCAGAAATTGTTTGCACCCAGTGGGTTTCGAACTTGAGACCTTGAAAGGGAGAAAACCCCAAGGCTCAAGTCAATTACCCAGTCGCGGCTATTGCCTATATAGATCCTTGGCTTTTAATATATTTTATTGTAAGCTTCGTATATATTTTATTGTAAGCTACGTTCACTTTGATTTGGAGAGATTGTAGACCTTCTGATAAAATAACTCCGCTCCATATTATGCTAGGTCTAGTTTGTTCTTTTTTCACACCTTAAATAATCATATATCACTTGCGGCTAGTACATTTGAATGTCCACGTAGGACATAGTCAAACTTCTCAAGTGACCTCTTATTTTAACCTCCACAAGTCTACTTGTACCATTTGATCATTTCTAACTTTGTTCAATCATGTACCACCATACATCCATGTTAGCCTCTCCAATTCTATTACACTTATATGTAGGTTTGGAAGCACCATTCACTATCATATAACTCATAACACATAAATCATTGAAAGGAACTTAATATTAACAACAATATAAGACACTGATCACTAATACATGCATAAACACATGCCAAGCAAACAAGTTTTGAACTCCAAATAAATGAATGGTAAAAAAAGCAAACAGCTTTATGTGAAGTCAAAAGATATAAACTTCATACCATCAGAGCCAGACCGCTTTGCATGCTTAATCTTCTGTAGCTGGACTTGTGTATCCATAAACAATTGCATCCTTTGAACCTCCAAATCCTTAGCAAACTGCATCCTCTGCTTCTCCAATTCCACCATTTGTCTTTGTTTCATCTCTTCAACTCTCTCATATATCTCTCCAAATCTCTCTATAGCCTTCGCCAGCCTCCTCATCCCATCCTTTTGTTCACTCATCCCCATATCCTCCTCCTCCTCCTCATCATCATCATCATCGTAATCCTCTTCTCCTTCTTCTGCCGCAGCAGCAGCAGCTACCGCCGAATAATTCCTCCTGAAATACGAATCATCCAAAACCGGCATCTGCCGTTTCTGAGGCAAAACAACCGGTGTCACCACCGGAGCAGCCGCTGTTGTTGTCGTCGATCGCCGGCTAGGCAACGGCACCCCCATAGGCGGAGACCGTGACGGTAAAGGTAACGGAGAAACCATCACCGCGGTAACTTTGTTACTGGAATTCCCGATTAAAAAATCAAGCCGTTCGAAAAAGGGCCAGGATGATGTTAGGGTTCCGTTAGACTCAACGAGTTTTGCCTTCTCAACTTTATACCTTTTTTTCAGCGTATCAATCCGATTCTTACACTGAACATCGGTTCGCCGAGTTTTCGCGGTGTGTCCGTGAAGAGCATTTACGGAATCCGCCACTTGTTGCCAATCTGTTTGACGGAGAAATCCACGATTCAGTTCGATATAACGACGTCCCCAAGCATCAACCAGCGTCCAGGTAGCTTCTTCAGTCCAACAATCCTCACGAAACGGCAATGGCCTTGACGGCGCCGTTACCTGTGTGGAGGATGCAGTAATTTCACCCATTGATTGGAAAAATCAACAAGAAGAAGAGAATAAGGAGGAAAAGGGGAGAAAGAGGGAAGGGTAAAAAGAAGAAGCGCCGGTTGGCGACTGGAAAAGCGCGTGAACCGCATGAGTAGGAGATGTTGAGTGTACGGAGATGATGACATAAGGAAATGAAGTCGCCGGGATAAGGGAAATGGCGCGTGAAGCTACGATCAGGATTAGGGGAAGTTAAGGACGGCAACAGGACGGGATTGGGTTGCCTTACGTGAGCACGTAACGTTGTTGTTGGAATTGGAATTTGTCTATTATTTCCTGTTTTATTTTTTATTTTCAGGTAAATGTCGTTAATGTATTTGTTTGTCGGGCCGCGGGCGTGAGTTGTGTGATGGACGAAACGGAGAAGCGGGAATGGGCCGAGGATGAGATTGCGATGTTGTGAGAAAAGTGAAATCTGATTTGGATCAGATTTTGCAGGTTCGGACAGGCATTTCTAGCTAACGTTGTTACTGTTTGTTAGTACTATTTTATTTTATTATTTTACCCCGAGTTTTTGAAAACATGTATTTTTCAAAAATTTAAGAATAAGAAAAGTAAGAAAATAAAGTTTTTATTTTGGCATTTATTTGACTTCGTTCAAAATAAGAAAAATGTGCTGGTAACGATTGAAGGTCCTTGATTCTGCTCAGGCAAATGGTCTGATTTTGATGGCTTTATTTGATAAGCATTTCTATGCCAGATTAAAACATTTGTATCTACATGTTACTTAAAAGGGAAAAAGGCCAAAATTATACCTCTACTATTGAAAATTATCCACGTTAATACCCCGTTTTACTTTCCGACTAAAATAATACCTGCCGTTACTAAAGTAGGAGAATTTGTACCTAAATCTAACGGATCTCCTACGTGGCAACCGGGTCCCCCATAATAATGTGCCAACCAGACAATAAAGTGCCAACTAGACTTTTTTAATCCGCCCCACTTTATAATAACTTTCCCTCATAACAATTTCAGTCAAATAACAATAGGGTCCAGGCACAAATTCCCCAAATTCTCTTTCTTCTCCTTTGCTCGACTCTATCCTCTCTCATCTTCATCAATGTCGCAGAGTAGTACTTCTTCTCAAAGAAGGTATTGATGTGGTATTATTACCAACCATTTCACATCAACCACTCCCTCTAACCTCGGTAAGAAATTTTACAAATGTGCACACCCTAAGGTAAGGCGTCGATGTGAATTTGTCTAATCTTTCTAGCTGTTTTGATTTGAAAAAATTTGAATCTTTTAAATGTTTCTTTGGCAGAATAATTCATGTGGTTATTTCGAATGGGAAGATGAAATATCCACGGATGGTTCCCAGCTTGAAATAAGAGACTTGAAGTCGTCTTTGGATGTCGTTACGATTGAAAGAGACAAGTTGAGAGAAAAATTAATTGACATGGAAGCCATGAACAAATTTGAAGATGCTAAAGTCAAAAAAATGGAAGAAAGAGTTGTACAACTAATGATGGTGATAATTGGTTCTTGGGCAATATTTGTTGGATTCTTTGCTGCCTGGATAATGAAGTAGAATTCATTATGGTTCTTCCTGGTTTAGTTGATTGTTTAGTTAATTATCATTGTGTAGTCAATTGACATGTATTGTTTAGTTTGGTAGGGAACTAGTTAATTATCATTGTGTAGTCAATTAAGTAGATTTTTATGTAACTATTTTTTGGACTGAATTTTACCTTCTGTTTAGCTTCTGTTTTCTGTGTTTTTTTGGACTGAACTAGTCAATTTTATTTTCTGTTTTCTGTGGGATCATATTACCTCAAAGTGTTCGACCAAATTTACAACTGTTTTGACATGACTAAAACTCGTGGTAAGAAATTCAGAAATCTGAGACTTGTCCATGACTTAATTCTCATGACTAAAACTCGAAATTTAACACAGCAGCAGGTTACTAACATTGACATATAACTGTTACCAACATTGATACCAACTGTTTTAACATGTACCACACCAACTATCATAACATTCATAATACCAACAAACAATAAACACTGTTTTAATTACATCAACCACCAGAACACCAGCAAGTTACTAACATTGACAGCAAACTAATAACACCAAATGTTTTAATTACATAAACTACCAAAAAAAAGATGCAACCAGCAAAAAAATGTACTGTCATAGCAGTAATTACATCAACCAGCAAAGGATTAACAACAATACTGTCATAGCAGTAATTACAAGCCTTCTAAACTTCAAATTCACAAAAACTTCCACTACACAAAAAAGTTGTCCATCTATAGTTCAAGTCACATTAGTTTTTTGACTTGCCATTACCCTTTTTTGTTACAACTTTCTTTCTCATACCAGATGAGTCACCAACAAAATTGATTGTCCTTGTTATAGCCGGTATGGTTCCTTGTTGTCTCATAAGCAGTCTTGTCCTTTCTTCAGAGAAACTTCTTGGCCTAATTTCTGGGCATAATCTGATTCAAAATCAGAAAACTCAAAATCTGGTGGGACAGTGTTGTTGGGAGGTTTCCTTTGGACTGATGGAGTTGTCATAAACTGAAAGTTTGAGTCTTGTACTGGATGACTTGCTTGACTGAACAGTGGTGCTGAAAGTTCTATGTCCTCCTCAGCTGGTATATTTGCAGCAAGTGGTAACATGGGTTATTCATCATTACTGTCTTGAGCTGCTAAACATATTTGCCTCTTTGCTTGCTTGCCCTTTTTCTTACTTGCCATTGGTTACTTTTTCTTAGAATTCTATTTAACAAATAGGTAAAAAGAATAGGTAAATAAGTGAATAAAATAGACAGTATTAAAAAAAAGTATTACCTTTACACAACCCCTAGCATTGTGTCCAGGCTGACCACATGTGGAACACTTTATTATCCTCCCCTTCCTGGACTGCATCCATTCACCTTATCTGTTGACTATTTTATTTTTTTCTCTTGTTCTTTTGACTTTAGGCTTGCAAGCCATCTTAACAAATTCTGGTGGTTCCATTGCATGAGATGCTTCAACCTTCCAGAATTTTTCTCCTCTCACTGGTTGAAGTTTATGTGAATATACTTGGTGATAGGCCTATTTGAAGTACCACCGGTGTATTTCAGTTAAAGGATTCACCTTGGTGTGTTGCATTGCTTTGATTGCATAAGGACAAGGGATTCTATTAAGGTCCCACATCCTACATGTGCATATCTTGGTGACCATATTCACTGTGTGTCTGCCACCATCTTCACTCACTTCATACCCTTCTTGACCTTTGGAATGAATATGACACTTGTTTGCAATCTTCAAGTATTGGTTATACAGTTGCATTGTTTGGGCACTGAAGTCATTATTCCATGACATCACATCAAATTCATGTTCCCTTAGCAAGTTCATAACCTTTACTTTAATATCCTCAAGCACCTTGATAATTGGCTTGAATCTTGCTTCCTTGATCCATGAATTGAAGGACTCAGTTAGGTTGTTGTCCATTGAGTAGTTCTTGCAAACAGTGTCAAAGTATGCTCTACTCCAACTTTCAGGTGGGTACTTTATCAAATGTTCAACAACCTCCTTTCCATCTTCATCCACTTGTGTCATATTCCTTAATTGGTCTTTAAAATCTTCCTAATAAGTGCTCCATGCAGCCCACCATAAGTACTTCTTATATTCCCCATGTCCCTATTTTTTGCACCAATTTGCCTCTATGTGTCTTACACAATATCTATGGTGTGCTTCAGGAAGAACCAAGTGGACTGAATCAATCAAACCCTTAAAATAGAAAAACAGTAAAGAAATACATCAGTAACTAAATGTAAAAGTAAACTAAATGCAACAGTTATGAGTTATAAATCAGTACACTAAATGAAAAAGTAAACTAAATGCAACAGATCAATGCAACAGTAGACCAATCTCAAGTTAACTAAAAGCAAACAGTTATGAGTTATGAGATGAAACAGTAGACCAATCTCAACAGTAAACTAAATGCAACAGTTATGAGTTATGAATCAGTAAACTAAATGAAAGAGTATACTAATGCAATAGTAGACCAACAATGCAACAGTGAAGAGCAACAGTGAGATGCAACAATGCAACGGTAAACAGTAAACTTAGGAATTGAAGGGCTCATACCTTTTGCATATCTAAAATAAGTGTGATCCCTTCTCCCATTTTGAGGTCCAATGAATGTTGTAGCAGCCTTAAGAACCAACTCCATGTCACTTCGGTCTCTTTATCAACAACAACCCAAGCTAAGGGATAAAAGTGCCTCATGGAGTCTTGAGCAACAGCTACTAACAATTGGCCCCTGCATTTTACTTTCAAAAAGGTTCCATCCAAGCCAATGAATGGTCTCAACCCACTCTTAAACCCCATTTTCAATGCATGAAAACATATGTACATTCTTAGAAATCTTCCTTTACCTTTAATAAGTGCATCCTTTGAAATATTAATCACCACAGCTGTTCCTGGATTACTAGACCTTAATTCACTAGCATAAGCCTCAACCTTGTTGTACTCATATGCAAAACTACACTCCATTTTCTCCAATATTATTCTCTTGGCTCTCTTACATTTTGAATGACTAACATTGATATTAAATGTAGCTTTTACACTTGCCATCATCTCCTTAATTTTAATCTTAGGATTATCTTGAAGCCCTCTCTTAAAGTAAACAGCTATGGTTTTTGCATTTACCATATGGTTATCATATGCAGTATTACACTTATGTTCTTCCTTTAATGTCTTGAATTTAACACTAGGACCTTTAGAGTCTTTGAAAATATGACAAACAAAGGGGCAATCTTCATATAAACATCTGTACCTAAGCTTTTGGGGGAAACTCTTAAGTTGTTTTAACCCATAACCATTAGCAAGGGAATACATGTTGATGAATTTTCTAGCTTCTGGAATGTTTTTGAATGTCATGGAATTGTGTAACTCCTTATACTCAGTCAATTTATCAGATATCTTCCTCTCTTTTTGTGTATGCAGTCTTTCTAATGAATCAGATTCAATGTCAGAATTATCTGAAGAATCAGAAGACTGACAGCCATGTTCTTCACTATCATCTAAACTACAGTCAGTAGCAACATCAAGTTCTATTATGTTTGACTCAATATGCTGGACTATATTATGAACATTAAAGTCAATAACATTAAACTGATTACTAACCAAAGACAGTAGAGTCCTAACACCTTGATCACTTTCTATTTCATAATATCTATCACTAGGCCTATTCACAATTACTTTTTGAACTCCAATAAACCCCAACTTAGAAGTAAATTCATTTACTAAATAGTTATAAGACAATTGGTCAGAGTTAAAACATTTAATAGTGTACACAAGTTTCCTTGAGTATAAGACTTGTGAACTATATATCCAATCACCACCATAATGAAAGATTAGATTCAATAAAACTATTGCATATAAGCTGCAAAATAAGAAAGGAAAAAAATTAACAAAAAAGCAACATTGCAACCTATATAATATGCTGACAAAGTGGACCATAGAATAAAGGTATAAAGTGAAGACAAAGATACATAAAGAAAAAAAAAATAGTGGGCTGCCACACATGAAGACGCAACTACAATAAACAAAGAGATGATGGGGGACTAAGTATATAAACAAAACAAAAACAAAAAAAGAAATAATCTGACCCACTTGTCTCTTAACTCAACACATGTGTATAAGAAATAGGGGACCAAACACCCAAAATAAGAGCGTTAAAGAAACAGATCCAACACAAAAGGGACCCCTTTTCTGTTAAATACCATATATGTAGGACCACAAAAATTGAAACCCTAAACCGGAACAAAAAAAAATTCCAGATAGGGATGATTCCAATACAAAATACAAACCCTAAACCACCAGTAATAAAGACCAAAACAAGGAAAACAAATTTAGGGTTAAATCGAGTATGAACAGACCACATACAAACAAAAACAACCAAAATCAAACACACCTCCTAATTAAAAAAAATACATATCTACATGAATCAGTCAAAACCCTAGTCAAAGAAAAAAAAATCAAAACTAAATGCAAACATATGCTTCCGTCCATACCAAAAACAAACCAAATAAATGACGATTTACTAAATTTAACAAGGAAATAGGTACCTTCGTATGCATCTACGATGAAGATGATGAAGACAATTTTTACAGTGAATAGAGAAGGTGAGAGATTTTTCTGTAAATGAAGGTGAAAGGTTGACCGGGTTGGGAATATTTTAGGGGGAGTTATTATAAAGTGGGGCGGGTTAAAAAAGTCTAGTTGGCACTTTATTATCTAGTTGGCACATTATTATGGGGGACCCGATTGCCACGTAGGAGATCCATTAGATTTAGGTACAAATTCTCCTACTTTAGTAACAACAGGTATTATTTTAGCTGGAAAGTAGAACGGGGTATTAACGTGGATAATTTTCAATAGTAGAGGTACAATTTTTGCCTTTTTCCCTACTTAAAACTGCTAAGTAGTATTTTGCAATATACTGTTTGTTGGATTCTTCTTCAAATAAGTAGATGTATAGGGTAAAATATGTAATGCTATGTGGCCGCTCAAAAGAAGGACACGTGGAATCTAAGATGGGGGATAACCAGAACCGAAGGCAATTGTTCATCTGTCACCGGAGAGAGTAACACTCATAAGGATGCAATAAATACTATTCGCCCAGTAGCACTCAATGGAGAATATTTCACAGCATTAAGTACGTTACCTATTACAAGGAATTTGACATTTATGTTCACCGTTACATCTTCATCAATGGCCCACATAATTAACATAAAAGAATGGCATGATCCTAGGACCTCCTTCCCTATACGTAGCTATAAATAGTGAGCTCAGTTATCATTGTAAGGAAGAGGAATTTCCTAAAAAATTGACGCTACACTCTATCCAAAGCTTAATTCAATTTTATCTTCTTGCTTTTTGATTCATTGTTTTTATACCCGGAAGCCCTGCTCCCTGAACCATTGTTTTTCTATTTTATCTCCGTCTCAAGGCTAAGTATTGCACATTTCTCCAATCATCTTATTATTTTAGGATCAAATTAATTCACTTGTCTAGAAACCACATATAAATTCAATTGTACCGTTTTACGGGTAAATAATTTGGCATCCACCATGGGGCCTAGACAGTCGTGCAATTAAATTGATCATTGCCTTTTTTCCTAACGTGTTTTTATTATGTTGTCTTAGAAAAAATCATAAGAAATGGCAGATAACAGTGTTAACAACACGCATAATCCCGAGATTCGAGGGGATCATCCTCATTTTGAGTCCTGAATCAGTGACACCCACGATGAGGGGAATGCCGCCACACTAGTGCATGACATGAAATATCCTCGATGTGTTTGGGAGACAACTCTAGATAATGCTGAGGAGGAACATATCGTTGATGCGGTAAGGTCTTGCAAGAGCAACACACAATCATCCTAGGTCACCTCACGCGACAGAATAAGCTTATGACGGAGTTGAAGCAGGCGCTGTCGGAGGATTCGAATAATGCGAATAGATGAGAGTCGGTTCCTCCCAGCGCTCATGCGAATCAAACAATGCAAATGGTCGACAACAATACCCCGAGGGGCAAAGTTAGTTCTGATGGGGCTGGGGGGGGAGATAAGATCTGGTCCTACTAACAAAAACGATCCCTTCAAGAATGAACTCTTACGGTTCATGAGGGAAGTGAACGCCCGCATGGACCAAATTCTAGGCGCACCACTGGTGTTGAAAGGACCGGACTCAAAGAAATATACTCAGTTACCATACAAACCAAGTGCACCACCAGAGCTAATCCCATAACGATTTAAAAAATGCTCCACGTGCCAAAGTACGATGGAACTTTAGACCCTCAGGAGCATATTACCACCTATACAACGACGGTGAAGGGAAATGAGCTCCTCATGAAATTGAATCTATTTTGCTGAAGAAATTTGGAGAGACTCTTATGAGGGGAGCCTTGACGTGGTATTCATTGTTACCCGAGCATTTCATAGAATTCTTTGAGATGCTCGCAAACACTTTCATCAAGGCTCATGCTTGAGCTATAAAAGTACAGGCCCAAAAGGCCGACATATTCAGGATTACGCAAGGAGAATCCAAGTTGCTATGAGAGTTCGTTACCCGATTACAGAAGGAGAGAATGTTGCTCCTGACTGTCTTGGATAAATGGGTGGCTGAAGTAGTCACCAAGGGACCGAATCCGAGAAGTTCAGATGCTTCCCGAAAACTGAAGGAAAGCCTGTTTGAGTTTTAAGCAATGACTTGGCCGAATGTACACAGCCAGTATGAGTCAAAGATAAAGGACTGAAGATAATTAGGTTGGTTTTCCGTCGTCGGTGAAGGTACGGGAGAAGAATAAAGAAAAATCAGAAGATGACTTCTACATGGGTAGAAGGTCTTCAAGGATCCAATTTCTGCCCTACGAACAGATAGAAGGTCGTAGCAGAGATTTCTGATCAACGGATAGATTCACTACCGATAGAAGGTCTGATCGCGGTCGGAACAATAGATCGTTGCAGGAAAAGGAACCGTCAAGTATGCGAGGATCCTTCCTACCCCAGGCTGTCAGAATACAATTTCAATGTCAGCATAGTAGAATTGGTATCAGCTATGTGAAACATAAAAAAAATACGATTTTCGAAACCCGATGAGATTTGATCCTAGCCATAGAGATCCCAACTTATAGTGTGAGTACCATGGGATGAATGGCCACTGGACTAAGGACTGCTAACATCTCCAGGAAGAAGTGGCAACACTGTTAAAGAACGATCATCTTAAAGAATTCTTAAGTGACTGAGCTAAGAACAATTACGGGCGTAACAACGTGGAATCCTCAAAAACAGAAGAAGATCACCCGCGCCAAACGATTATCATGATCTTCGGGGGGAATGAAATCAACGAAGTCACCTTTTTGGCAGCAAAAACATGAAAGTATCAATAACCCATAGCAAGAGGCTCTGGGAAGTCACCGAAGACGATATCACTTTCACGGAGGAGGACACAGAAGGATTGCTGCTACCACAGAATGGTGCACTGGTAATTTCTTTAAATGTCCTAGATTTTAAAATGAAATGTGTTCCAGTGGATTCAGAAAGTTCGGTTAATATCATACAATGGAGAGTATCGGAGTAAGCTAAACTCACCGGAAGCATTATTCCGGCCACTAAACTTCTCGTTGAATTCAACTTTGCGAGCATGACAACCCAATGAGAGATTTTGCTTCCCACAAATGCCGAAAGGGTAATGAAAACAACTCTTTTCGAAGTGGTAGACGGTAATATAGGATATAATATTATTCTAGAAAGACCATGGTTGCACGAGATGAAGGCGGTACCATCAATATATCATCAATTGCTGAAGTTTCCAATAACCGAATGAGTTAAACAAATAAGGGGTGACCAACTGGTGGCAAGGGAGATGAACGCAATTTTCGTCTCCAGTAGCAAAGGAAAGGGACACGCGACATAGCAACTATAGGAACCGGCGCTTGCTCCCGAACTAGATGAAGCTAGCTCGGAGCAGGAATGTCAGAATATTATCGGGTGCCAAGGTATTTCCAGGTTCCAGAGGAGACGGATGTAACGAAATACATAGCGGAGGAGCTTGAGCAAGTTGCATTGTTCAAAGAATTCCTAGAAAGGAAATTCCACTTGGGGACAAGACTACATCCTGAACTCAGGTCTGGTTTGATTGAATTTCTTAAATCTAATGCCGATTGTTTTGCATGATCGCATGCAGGTATGACAGGTATCCCGATGGATGTAGCCGTACACAAGTTAAGTATGGACCCCAATATACCTCTGGTAAGACAAAAAAATGCCTTATTGCGAAAGTCAGGAATAAATTCGTCAAAGAGGAGGTAACTCGCTTACTTAATATCGGGTCAATCCAAGAGGTAATGTATCCTGACTGGCTAACTAATATATTCGTAGTTCCTATGAAGAACAACAAATTTTTCATGTGTGTAGATTATAAGGACTTGAATAAGGCATGCCTGAAAGACTCATTCCCACTGCCAAACATCTATCAAATGATTGACGCGACGGCCGGGCACGAGTTAATGAGTTTGCTAAATGTGTACTCCGGGTCAACCAAATTAAGATGAACCCGAAGGATCAGGAAAAGACTTCGTTTATAATAAATTTTGGCACATATTGCTATAATGTAATGTCCTTCAGGTTGAAAAATGCCGGAGCCACTTATCAACAGCTCGTGAATAAGATGTTTGAAAAACAAATAGGAAAAACTATGGAAGTTTATATAGACGATATTCTCATTGAGTCTTTAAATGTAGGTGATCACCTTAAGCATCTACAAGAAGCTTTTGATATCATAAGAAAGCATAACATAAATTTAACCCCGAAAATACGCATTCGGGGTCAACTCTGGCAAGTTCCTGGGATTTTTGGTATCGCAAAGGGGGATTGAGCTAAATCCCGACAAGATCAAAGCCATCAAAGATTTCCTGGACCAACTGTCAAACGTGAAGGAAGTCCAAAGGCTTACAAGGAGATTGACATCCTTGAGCAGGTTAATTTCCTGGTCATAAAAAAATGTCATTTCTTCGCACTGCTCAAAAAGAAAAACAACTTCGAATGGGACCTCAGAGTGCCGGCGGGCTTTTGAGAGATTTAATACGGTACTTGTAAATCCCCTCGCTACTTTCTAAACCAAAGGAGGTGAAACACTGTTAGTCTACCTCACGGTCTTGGAAGTCATGGTAAGTGCAGTTTTAGTCCGTGAGGACGAAGGTACGCAGTCTCCCATTTATTATGTTAGTAAAATTTTAGCGGGAGCAGAAACTCGCTACCCACATTTGGAGAACTGGCCTTAGCTCTCATAGTCGCCGCTCGAAAGTTAAGGCCCTACTTCCAATGTCACCCGATACACTACTAGAAAAAAATGTTATTTTCTGACCGAAATTTGCGACTGAATATATAGTGGTCGCTAATGCGACTAAATTTAATACCGTGGCAGTCGGAGAATGATTTTTTAATTTTATCGGGAATTTCCCGCCTTTACATTTGCGACCGATTCAGTCGCAAAGTAAAAAGTCAAAGANGTAGTAGGCTCGTTCATAGGCGCTCGACCATACTAGGCTCTGTATCTCGACCAACTAGGCTCGCTCATAAGTTCTCGGCCACAGTAGGCTCGGTATATAACTTACCATCTGTTTAGAGGTTTCCCAATAAGGGCCTGCCCATTGATTATAGCTCGATGGTAATGAAAATACTTTTAATACTATATATATGTAAACCCTATGCTATCTTGACTGGAAGAAGAAAATACTCAACTGAATATGAAGTCCCCATAAGGAGAATATGGTAATTTACAAAACTAGGAAAATATATGTAACTTGCGAGACTAGCAAAATATGTGTAAGTTCCGGGATATGAATTTTTCTTTATGACTCATTAACAAACTTGTGTAATTACGAGATCATGCAAAATGAAGGAAGATCTTAGCCTTAACATACCTGGGATAAGGAAAAATCCGTATGATATTCTTGGAAAAGGTTACACCATATTCCTTTAGATTCGTAAAATCTCACGTTGCTATGGTGCTAAGAAATCCCGTTGGAATTGTTTTATTTCAAAATTAATGTCGTTCTTTGTTGGAAGGAAATTTCCTGTTCTTTCTAATCAAATGAAGACTACAATCCATTCTTGAATTTGTTTGGATTTAGAAAGAAGTATTCTAAACAATGAAGACTACCATCCATTCTTGAATTGATTTGGACTTTGTACGTAAGTGTCATTGCAAATGACACTTAGATGCCACCTTTCAAATTGTGAGGTGAGTCATTCCAATTGCATAGGGGCTGCCACCTCATGGAATTTAATACTTATACAATATATCCTCAATTAATTAGGTAATGTCCCGTTACCCGGTAATTAATTAATTACCTACAAAATTGAGAATTATTCTCACTTACTTAAAATATTACTCACTTTTCACATACCTTATACACCA